GTTTATTAGAAAGGAATCTAAGCACAATTTGGATATTTGTTAATGAGGAATTAAAACTTAGCACATTAGAAACGAGATAATAATTCTTGATTACACAGATTTTTTGACTCTGATTTGTTTAGCAATAAGGGCTGTCTCCCCAGTGTGCAAGGACACCTTTCACCTGGAAGATTTATTTCCTGCATTCAAAGAGACATGGGAGGGTCAAGAACCCTTCTAGTACCAGCTGCTGATCAAGTAACCTTAATTCAAAATAATCAATATGCCATTGTAGGATTTTTGGGTGCAGCCTGTCTTGGGCCACAATACCATCCATCTATTCTGGACTTAGAGAGGTGCCATTACAGAGGGACACTGAACTAGACTTACAAGAACTAGGTTTGATTTCTGGCTTTGTATTTAGCTACTTGCTTAACTTTGTGGATGAGCTCTGTGTTGGGGCACCCCTTTAACACTTAGCCAGGCTCTTTACAACTCTGCCTAAGACTTCACTTCCTGCTTGAGTTTATAGGTCATCTTAAGTGAAAGTTGAGGGTCTTCTCAGTTCTGTTCTGAGCACATGTGCCCTTTTCCTTGGCATGCATGTGGCTTTCTAAATTCTCCAGGATACACGACCACCTTTAAATGCTCTAATTTGCCAAAGAAACCCTCTCCCTGGCTTTTCCTCACTGGCTTTAGGCAGTCTCTTGCATGTCGCAGCCCTTGGACCAGCCTGGGTGGCTGCAGGTTTTTCTGGTCACCTTATAATACTTTTAAGTAATGCTCACCATCTGTATCTACTTCCTCCCTGAACAGCACTACTCAGAAAATGCCTGAGGACCATTGTAAGGATCAAATATGGGAATGTGTAAGGCTTTTAGAAAAGATAATGCAAAGGAAATCTTATTTTAGAAAATTTGTTCCTTGATTTGTGAGACACATCACATTTCTATCAGAAGGATTTTATTTATTAATTTTATTGAGGTAACATTGGTTAATAACACATAAATTTCACATAAACAACATAATTTAATACCTGTATACACTATGTATGCTCACTACCAATAGTCTAGTTTCCATCTGCCATTGTATATTTGACCCCCTTTGCCCATTTTGCCCTCCTCCACCTTCTATTCCCTCTGGTAACCATCATTCTGTTGTCTGTATCTATGAGGGTTTTTTTGTTTTGCTTTGTTTTTTCATTTGGATTTTTTTTTTTTTTTGGTTTGCTTTATATTCCACATGTGAGTGAAATCATAGTTTTATATCCTTTTCTGTTTGCCTAATTTAGCAGAATATCCTCAAGATCCATCTATGTTGCCACAAATGACAGTATTTTATCTTTTTTTGGATAAGTAGCATTCCATTGTACACAATATATCACATCTTCTTTATCCAATCATCTGTTGATGAACACTAAAATTGTTCCATCTGTTGGCTATTATAAATAATGCGGCAATGAACACTGGGGTGCATATATCTCTTCAAGTTAGTGTTTTCATATTCTTCAGATAAATACCTAGAAAAAGAGTTGCTAAATCATATGGTAGTTCTATCCTTAATTTTCTGAGGATCCTCCATATTGTTTTCCGTAATGGTTGTACCAATATACAATTCCACCAACAGTGTACAAGGGTTCATTTTCTCCATATCCTCACCAACACTCTTTTGTCTTTTTGATAACAGCCATTTTAACAGGCGTGAGGTGATCTCTCATTGTGGTTTTGATTTGCATTTCCCTAATAGTGATGGTTAGCATCTTATATGCCTGTTGGCCATGTGTATGCACTAGAAAATGTCTATTCAGATTCTCTGCCCATTTTTTATTGTTTTTGTTGTTGTAGATTTATGAGTTCTTTATAAATTTTGGATATTAACCCCTTATCAGAAATATTGTTTGCAAACATCTAACATTTGTCTTTCATTTTGTTGATAGTTTTCTTGTGCAGCTTTTCAATTTGATGTAGTCTCATGATTTCTCTCTTGACTTTGGAGTCAAGTTCATAAAAACATCACTAGGACAGGATTTTTTAAATGGTGGGCAAAAATGTTTAACTTCACATATATTTTCCTTGCTCTTCATTTCTACTTATAAAAATCTGACTTTCATCACTCTAGGTGTAGAAAACATTTTCCTTTTTCCCTTCCAGGTTCTTTGGCTGGTCTAATAACTTAAGACAAATTAACAGGAGAAAAATAAATTTGTATATATTGTACAGAAGCCCTATAAAACATGATTTAAAGAAGTAAACATAGTTTTATTGTCTTTTAGACCATGAAATAACACATTTGTGAAGGATTGACAGGGCAGAGGGTTTGGGCTTAGAGAAGTAAATAGTGAGGAATTAACAAAGTTTATTTACACAGCCCCTTCAGCCCTAAATTCCTTGTCTCTGCTGGTAAGGGTGCCTTCTACCCTACCTAGTACAGGTAGGGTACCTTTCACATGGAAGCTTTATCACCCACTTTCAGAGGGCAAAGGAGGGGGACAATGTCTTTTTGCACTGCTGTTTCTCAAGTACCTTTAATTCAAAATAAATGCCAAGGTGGCCTATTTTGGGATGACATATTCAGAACCTCTACATCACCAGCTTGCACAGGTCTCTAGCATAAGAGAAAAATACAAATTTCATTTCAATATTTTATTGAAACTTTTCATGTTACACCATTTATTGAAAACATTTAAAACACCAGTGAGACAAAAACAACTTTAAAAAAACCCAAAACACACATAGACAAAACACCTCTTCTGGCTGAGGTAATATTACATGAGTCATTGTCAAATCACAAATTTTTGTTAATCTGCTATACAGCTTGGTACCACATCAGTGACACTCAATGACTCAAGAGAAAGACATTACATTAGAGAAAGCGAAATGTACAGCTATTTGAAAGAGAAAGTAGAAATGCCAAATTAAAGAATCAAATTCTAGTGCAATGTGAATTGTTACCAAGGGGATTTTATTTGTTCGTGTATATTGAAAATAATTAATTCAAACTTCCTAGGCTTTCAAGAGCTAGCAGTTTTTTTTATGTTAAAACTTGGGAGTAAGCAAACCAAGGGCAAGCATTTTCTGTAACCTCTGTTGAAAGAAATCAGTGTCAAAGCAGCATGATTTGTTTTACTTTGTGAGCAGATTTACAAATAAACAGGGAAATGTTGAAGCATTTGTGCCTAACCAGTAAAATGAATATTTTGGGCAGTTACAAAAAAGCCAGTGCTAAAAAGCAGCTCTGAGTAGTCAGGCACGTGAGCAAGACTTCTAATCTCTCCAGTTTTGTTTCTGAAAACACTGGTTAGGGTAGCAAATCCCCCAACACAGTCATATTAGCCATTTTGAAATTGGTCACTTTTGACCATTTCCTATTTATAACATCTAGTGCTGGAAGTTTAGACTTCACTGAATTTATAAATTTAGGAATTATTTTTCATGGGCCCATAAAAAGTGTGTCTCAAAGCAAAGAGATTTATAAACAGATTTAGCCAATCAATTCACAAATTCACTTAACAAAGTAAGTTAATATTAACTATGTGTTTCAGTTTTTAATTCAATCGGTTTCTGACTAAAATTAAGAAATTGTACAAGGTAAGGCAAGCATATCACACTTCAGCTCCACAGTCAAAATCACATTATGTAAAAGGACCGGTGGGCCTGTGGGACATTTTAATAGAATCTAATTCATAATACATATTAATCATACTGAATTAAAAAATATTATTCCGAGTTATCACCATAAGAAATGTAGAGCAGGGATATTTGCTTTTGACAACCTATATGCTTGAAGAAATTCAACAATTTTAAAATGAGAAAGAGCATGTCAATATTTATTTCATTTACTCTTCTTTAAACTCAGTTAAACGTATTTGGCAAGCATTTACATGCTTAAATGTTAAAGACGTTTATATTTCAACTGATTTGGAATGGCAATAAAAAACAGTATTTTACTTCCAACATTTCAACTTTAGTTTTAATGTTAATTTGTATTCTTCTTCCAGAGAGGCAGAAAATAAGACCAACCTTTCTTGTGTGTGGTTTGGGCTATCAGTCTTGGTGAAACATATATGTAACTGAATCTTCAGGCTAACCTCCACTGAATAATCTTGAAATACCTAGTTTTTAGCTAGGTAAAAGATCCCATAGATTTTTCACTAGTAAATACTTGATTGCATTCAGATTCTATCCCAGAAATTTTCTTTAACTTGTAATTTTTAGTAAAGTTTACTCTTGCCTGAAACCATCTCCCTGATTATAATAAAAAATGAAATGTTTTTAAGGAAGTTTGAGATATAAGTATTTAAAAATTTACTTAGCAGTTCAAAAGCAATGAATAAAATTTAAATGTTATAGGTTGGATTCTGAAGGAGTATCCATAAAACACAAAATATGATCAGTGGTGTTTAATTTTATTGTTCCCCTTGGTGAAATTTAAAAATGGAAAATTTAAGTGTTTTAGTCATTTTTAAAAGAACATACAACACAAGGGAGTAGAAAGAGCTGCTACTTAAATACTGTTTCACACTTTTTGGATATCATTTTTGGTTCCAACACTATTAATCACAAAAAGTAACCATTTTGCTGATATTTAGCAAATAAAATAAATCTGTTTGTATGCATTCTAGGTTGGAAAACATCAGTGCCGTCATCGCATTTTAGTAATAAACTGTGACCACTCATATGAGGAAGTAAAACTTTAAAATGTTTAATAAGGAATCAGTCAAATGCATATCATTTTACTATACAAAGTTCTTCACCCATTTAGGAACATACAGATTTTTTTATTAAAACTGATTAACAATTTTTTTTACTTATTATTTGTTGAAATTTACTTCCTTTCCTCATCCATAAAAAGCAAGGACAGACTTCCTTTAAAGTTAGTAGTTTTCTTCAGTATTCATCCAAGCAAGTTTAACTACAAGGCAACAAGGATATACCTGCTTTTCCCTTTGTGCATATCTAGTTTGGAGTATGAAATTATAAACAAAAACTTCAAGAAAATAAAAACTGAAACATTATTTTATGATAACTACACAGGAGGCAAGAGGTACAAATTCCCAGGTGAATTTTAATTGTGTCTCCACTAAGACAAGTCATTAAAAAATGAAACAACTGATGTTCATTTTAGTACACAATTTGTAAATTTAGAAACAGTAATAGTTGTCATGATTATTGTATTTTCTACCTGTTAAGAGTGGCTCTAAAACTCAGCCTGATGATTCACATAATTAGGTAAGCAAATCAAGCTTTATAAACATGATGAATATTAGTTTCTGGCATTGAAATGCTGCTTCTGGAAACACAAGTACACTGTTTGCCTTAAATCCTTGGGTACCTTGGCTTGTTCTATTTTATTCTGATATTCAAGCAGATTGTTACTTCATTTTATGCAATAAGCTGATCTAAGAGTAAAAAATTTGTTGAAGGAAATTCCAAGTTTTTGTGCATAAAGGGCTTTATGTAATAAATATGCAGCCATTAAAAAGTTATGCAGAAACAATACTATTTAAAACTTCAACTCCTGATTACAGATTGCCAAATCTAATGCTTCTTGTTATTATCACGGATGATATGGTTTATTTGCTTAATGGTAAACTATGACCTCTCAGTACCATACACTGTATTAAGGATGACATAACAATATCTATCAAGAAGATGAAATAAACATGTAATAAATATTGAAGTCAGATGGAATAAACTGAGCCAAATTTTTTGTTTGTAAAATTTTTTGTTTGCTGACGTTTTGCTTCTGTCCAAGATTATTTTTAGTTCAGTATGCATGCAACGCTATCTAGAATTTAATTCATGAGTATTATTTTTATTGAGTTTTCAAATTTGGAATACCTTTGATAACAAAGTAGATACTTATGCCTTAAAAAAAAGTCGCTGTTTTCAGCATGGGCGTTTTCTACCAGTGTCACTTTCTAATCCATTTTTCCCCCAGTATTCACTTTTATCCCTCACAATTTCATAACAAAGTGTCCAGATTATGTCTTTTAGACTAATCAGGAACGTAAATCTCAAACGCTATTCTGAAGAAGTGTAGAGTAAATAATTTTGGTAATCTGTAAAACAGCTGCATGTAGTGTGTACTGTACTATAACAGCACCAAACCCTTTATAAAAGCCAAGCATTCCTTCCTCCTGCTTTATGGTATTGATACAGTCTCTCATTCCCTCATACTGTGTATTAATTGGAAGCACTTCATAGCCAAGGTCTGTATTGTCGATTATTGTGCGTGTTCCTTGAATGTGAAGGCGGTGCAAAACTGTTTCCAAGGGATAAAGTATAACATCAGAGCAAAGACTGGCAGCAAAGTTAGCAATAAGTTCTGGAAAATAAGCATCCAACATACTCTGCACCGGGCTAGTGCTCTCAGCTGGATGGCTATTGTAAGTCTTTCTCTTCAGAATTAGTAGGACAAACTTCTGAATGATTGAGCTGATGATGTAATGAAGAAGGCCATGCAGCACTGTAGGAAAGATCAAGGAGAGGAGGGGAAGCAGTCGTTTGCTATGAGGCACTCCCATGCCTATCACTCTTCCAATGCCTTCTTTAACACATTCCAAAATTCCAGTATTATCTCGAATTATCTCACTCTAAAATAAAAATGATGAAATGAGAAAAGTTAACATTTGCTTATTTTGCCACAAGAAAGATCTCTTTTTAGATCCCTTTTCAATCCTAACTAACCGACTAAAGAGAGAAAACATCAATGGTTTGGAGAGTTCAAATATTATCTAGGTGTTAGACAGTTAGTGGCGGGGGGCCATTCGGGGGTGAGGGATTAGAGCAAAAAGGAAAAAGGACTCATGGACAACAGTGAGGTGATTGCTGAAGGGAAGGGGGTATAAGGGGGCTAAATGGTAATGGAAAAAATAAAATAAAGATTAAATAAGAAAAAAAGAAGAAAGAAGGTGAAGGGATCAGTCAAAGGACATATATAAAGGACCCGTGGACATGGACAATGGTGAGGGGACTGATTATGGGAGTGGGGGGTGGGCTGGGCAGAGCGCGACAAAAGGGGGAAAAAGTGGGACAACTGCAATAGCATAAATAATAAAATGAAATAAAATAAAAATTTATATAAAAAAGCAAAAAAAAAAAATTCATGAAAGAGATAGCAGTAACCCTGGGAGCTATTTTTATTGGAAAAGGGACGCAGGGAAGGCAATGTGGGGGCACACACCTGTCTCACCACCCTCAAGAAGCTCCTTAGAACTCAATTTGGAAAGGCAGTAACTACATGATACCTGAAGAGGCACTATAGTGCTTAGAGTTCTTACAAATGGATTCACGCCCTGCCTCCATTACTTACTGGTTATGTGACCACTGGCAAGTTATTTAACTTCTCCTAAGAGTCAGTTTACTAGTCTCTAAAAATGAAATTAGTTAACACCTACCTCTTATGCACAGAGTTGCTGGAAGTACTAAATGACAAAAGGCCTGAAAGCCAGAAGGCACTTAATAGATGTTAGTCACCATCATCTATAATGCCTCTGCCTTTTTATAATTTTGAGAGCACGTAAAACAAAGTTTGTGATACAGTTCGGAGACATGGACAGGCAGATAAGGAACAGCTAAGAGGCCAATTTTGACTACAGCAATGATTGAAGAAGTGAATGAAGTTGAAAAGGTCGTCAGGGGCCATATTATTCCACTGAGTAGACTTTGGCTTTAGTCAGATGGAAAACAGCTGGTTGGCTTTACATGGAAGATGGACAATAAGTAATTTATGTTAACACTGGTTGTTGTGTAGAGGAGAACAAGAGCAAGGGTTGAGAAACCACTTGAAAAGTTATTGCATAATCCAGAAAAGAGATGATGGTAGACTAGACTACCAGGTAGTAATGGGAAGTGCTTCAGTTGTGCTTTTCTCTTAAAATTACAGCCAATAAGAATTGCTGGTGGATTAGATTTGGGGTATGAAAGAGAGAAGTCAAAGATAACCTCAAAGCTGTTGGCCAGAGGAAGTGGAATAGCAACACATTTTACTGAGCTGGGAAATATGGATGCAGTTGCATTTTGAGGGAGAGATCAAGAGTTCAGAAATGTTTAGTTTAAGGTGTAAACTTGGAGTTCACAATCTACTCTATAAGAAAAAACTCCAAACTGGACATATAAATGTGAGCTTCCAGTAAACAGAATATATTTAAAACCATGAGACTAAACTAAGCTCTCCTAACCTACTCCACTTCCCTACCTCTGAACCTTTCCCACTTCAGTCTGTTTTTAATATAGCAGCCAAGGAGATCCTAATAAGGACACGCTAGATCACATCACTCTTCGGTTCTAATCCACCAAAGACTCCATTTCCCTCAAAGTAAAGGTGAAATTATTGCAATGACCTACAATGTCCTATATGATTTCTCTCCCTCTTAACTCTCAGAACTCATCTACTCCTGTTTTCCCCCTTGCTTAGTTGAGTTTCAACTATACTGGCCTCCTTTATGCTCTTCAAGCACATGAGACATATCCTACCTCAGGGCCTTTGCACTTGCTTTCCCTTTGCTTAGAATGTCCTTCTCCCAAATGTCTATGTATTGTAAAAGAAGAGAAAGATGTGCAGGAGGAGAAATCTAAGAAGGCAAATAAAAAGGTTTCTAGAAAATCAGACAAAAGAAATCACAATGAGGCAATTAGCAGGTAGAAAAAAGAGGGAGTGGATATTGGGTTAAAAAAACAAACACTGTGAGTTGGGTACTTTACATAAATTACTCATTTAACATTTATAGCTAATTTTATGTATGAGAAAGTTAAGATTTAGGAAGGGTAAGACATTTGTTTAAAGTCATAGATCCAAACAGAAATGTGATTCTGATAGGGGTCTGTGTAAAGCTAAAACTTGTTTCCCCCCAATATTAACATGCTACTTAACTTTTTCTTAAATAATCACCTTCCTGTTATATTTCCTCACTGTATGAGGATATCTCATAGAGTAGTAACTGTAAGCTGCTCCATACAAAGGTTTTATCATTTATTTAACAGAATGCCAGATGTAAAAGGAGAGAAAAGTGTATTTGGGTAGCAAGATATTTGCTTCAGTTAACAGAATTCTAATAAATAAATAGGCAAAAAAAACACCCCAAAACAATTAAGTGGAAAAAAGTAATTAGAAGAGGAAAGGCTAAGTGAGGTTTTTATAGAGAGAAGGATCTAATACACATCGAGGACAAACATATGCTATGAAAGACAGGTGATACATAATTAGCAGGGCTTTGTGTATAAAGTTAAACTATTTCACCTTACAGATTTTTTAAAACATTTCTTAAATGCTTTTATTGTTGTTCAATTACAGTTGTCTCCATTTTACCCCCATTACTCTTTCCTGCCCTGCCCACCTCCCTCACCTTACAGGTTTAAGTATAGGAACCATATAGTAAGACAGTACATTAATTTGGTGTAACTGTAGTGCCACCATGTGGTTAGAAATAGTAAAACAATTTAAAACACTAACAGATTTCTTTGGCTTTGTAGCACTTAACATACCAATCCATTAAATGTTCTATAAAAAGGCATATTTAAAAAGAATGCTGCTAGTAAATTACTATGCAGACTACCTACTCACTGTTAGGATGATTATCTATTATGTTTTAGCTTAGGTAATTTATTGTCCTATGATAAGCCATAACCATTTTGAGTTGTGCTTAAGGGTCTTAAAAAGTGGGAAAAAAAAAAACAAAACCCTATGAATTCTTTGTATTCAGAGCAAGTCATAAACTGGGTTCTGAGAAATCTGAATGAAGAGTACAGCTGTCTATGTAGAGACTAAAAAAATAAAACTAAAAGTATGAAGTAAGTTTGCAAAGGGAATATACTCAAATCAGCAATGTGCTAGTATATAATCTTTAATATATGTGCATCTGTAAAATAAAATTTTAAAAGGATATTGTCAAATTTTTCTGTTTACAATCAGACATAAATATTTAATATTTCAAAAAAAATTCTTAAATAAAACTGACTAAAAAGTAGCTCACCTGTACTGTTTCAATTAGACTTGCTGAGTAAAAAGGCATTGCCACCATATAAGTTAGGCTGTAGAAATTAAAACAAATTTATCAGTACACTGGAATAAGATGCTTACACTAAATTTTTAAATATATACTTTAATGTATCAACATAATTTATATTCAAGCCTGAATGATATTTTTAAGGTTTTCAGCTATTAATACACATAGCCTAAAGATACTTCAGAGACCTGTAACACAGAATTTTTATTCAACAATTAGAGATAAAAAATTAAGTATTAATAAGAATGCAGGGACAGGCTGCAAAGAAAACAGGTTTTATTTTAAATCAGTATAAATTGTAGGCTTGTTTGTGATTCATTGTTTGGACATCTACCTGCACACAGCTAATGTAGCCTTTAATGCTGATACTTAAAATTTACGATGGGGGATCCATTCCATTTGTTGCCTTCTTAGTGATATCTGAACAAGGGTACTGTTCTGCCATGACCCTACATTATCGCCATTCATTTCCAGATTTCCCACCCAGCAAAGCTAAGCCAGTCTTCAATGGTAAGTGAAGTCCCCTTTTATTATTAAAAAATGATATTGCATAGCTTTGCAAAGTTGTTTCCTACCCCTAATATTTAGAAAGAGTAATATTACAACTTTGCAAGCCTGCAAGATATAGTTGTTTAAGATAATATCAAGGTGGGACTTACCTAACCCTATGGGGCCAGGTCCTGGCAAGTAGTGGCTTTCAAGGTGAATGGAACATCACTAAGTAATTATGTGCTGGAACGCCCCCGCAGAGGGAGCCAGCAAGCTGGGGGGTTTCCAATTCACAATCTTCAAAAAAAATTAAAAAGTGAAGAGTAAAATTCTAATCTACAAAAATGGCCAGTGTTGTAAAATCACTAAGTGCCTTCAGGACTACATTTTAACGACACCCAATGCTTTGAGTTTGCTCATTACCACACAAATAAATTTGTATCTCTGGTTACTAACAAAATAATAATAATAATTTTCCTGGTAATTTGGGTTTAAAAAGTTGAAGACCTTTACTGACTTCCTCAGAAGAACTAGGTTGTGATTTCAGCCTTTCAAAGTGGAAAAATTTATTTTAAAGGTAATATATATATTTCAGGATTTTATTCCTAAACCCTATGTTATTTGCCTTTGAAGTTCTAGTCCCACAAATATTTCATTGCTCTAACTTCTTTCAGTGTAGTTATTTAAAAAGATTTTTTTTCCAGCTCTAACATTATAAAAATTAATGGAAATGTTTGATATAAATGCCACTTCTGATACTTACGATTTCAGTAGAAGATGTTCTCCTATTTGTTTGGGATTCCATTTATGTGAAACCTCCCTAAAAAATAAAAATAAATTTAAGTAAAACAAAAGCCATGTTATTTAAAACATCTTGAATTTGCTCAACTTTCAAAAAGGTAATCAAGTTTTAATTTAAAAGAAAATCTGCAGGAGAAATATATTCTAATGAACATTTTCCTTTCTGGGACGCACTTCAAGCAATGGCAGTGGTTTGAAAAGAAAAAAAAAATGTACAAGGTATTTTTGTATGTGTTGACAAAAAGGGCTGACAGAGAAGAAGTTATAACTAATTACAAGAATGAACAAGAGAAATTAAAGGAGATATAAAAGTGATAGGTTGAAAAGAAAAGAATGGCTGGGAAAAGGAAATGGCAACAAGGAATAGGATAAAGGGAGGGGAAAAAGCGTTAACAATTATGTAACAGTGGGAATCATAAACTAATCAAAATGAAGTAACTGTCGTACAGAATGATGTCAGTAGTAAAGCGGGGTTCTAAACCCTGGTCTCTGACTTGAAGTGTGCACTCTGCCTGCACTACCTCCTCTCATCTCATCGGACACAGGAAGGAATGCTGTGACAGAAGCAAAGCAGCCATTGTCCCATTTGTTTTATTTATGAGAAAAATGAAGGTCAAAAAGATCACAGGGACATGTTCAAACCAGATAGGCAGAACACTAGGTCTGGAACCAAGGTCTAGGTCTGTGTGTTTCCTGCTATTGAGATTATTACCTTTGGACACAAAAAAGAAGAAGAAGAAGAAGAGAGGCAAGCTAAAAGAACAGGAAAAAGTTTTATCAAAAGAAAACTCAAAAAAGAGAAAAGAACATGGAGAGAGAAAGGGAAAGTAAACAGAGGCAGGTACAGGGGATGGAAGCAGAGCAGGGAGGAGGAGCAAAGGAGAGGGAGATACCAAAGAAAGGGAGGTGCAGAATCAAGAGGAGAACCGAGCTGCTACCGGCAACCCTGATGAAACTGGCACCCACTGCGTACTAGCCACAGAAGGAAGCCGAGAAAAACATATTCTATCTCAAATAACTGAATATCACCAACAGAAAGAGATGAAGGAATAAATGTACTTTACATTAAAAAAGTGAAGAAAATTAGTCACTGACAATGTAAGTGCTCTAAAAACAAACTCAGTACAATTATAGCATGGGCGGTGTGCTGCTAACTTTCCAACATTTTTCTAAGAGACTGGGAGGTCTGCAGAGAATTTTTAGAAAATAGAACAACCTTCTCTGATTTGTAAGATCTTAGAGAGCCTTCTGAGTCACATTCTGATTAATATTAGAACCACAGGCCTGAGCAATCACAGAAAAATATAGCTGTAATGACATTCAATGATTAAGTTGAAAATGTTTAAAAAAAAAATTAGGCCTCTCATCTTACTGACAATGACTTTATGATTATAAAACAAAATATGCTACATAGTTTGCCAATCATCTGGGCACTGCTAATTACTCTTTCTATTGCCGCAGAAAGTATTACCACAGGTTATTATGACATTGATTTTAAGCATGAAACTGTCATTAACATTACGAACAGCTGGGTCTGTGACCTGTGTTTCTGCAAGAACAGGGTCACCTCCCCTTTGAATACAAAATTATTACCGCCAATTCTAAGAGTCATTAAGATTACTAAGAGAGAAAAATAAAATTTAGAATCAAATATTTTAAAAAGTTAAGATTTTCTTCCTTGTAACTGTTCTCTACTGCTTCCTAAAATGGGTAAAACTTATTGCCACAGCTCTAGAAATTTAAATTAGCACATTTAAGTGCTTCAGGAAAGAGGATAGTGTAGAAATCTACTTTTCATTAAACCTTTTCATATTTCATTATTAAATACTAAGACATATGTAAATACATTCAATTCACTATTTTCACAAGCAAAACCTGACCTTCAAACAAGCAACAAAATTGAGAGAAGTGACTTGCTTTTTCTTAAAATAGTTTTGTTTGATAGACGAATATATAAACTTAATGCATAATCAATACAAAATAGCAACAGAATTTTTAAATAACTCTATATTTAAACAGTCTTTACTTTCCATTACCTGATTTCACATGCTCATACAGCTTCCGTCTTTAAAAAAAATCTTCCCTCAAGACAACCCAAACCTCTCATTTTCTAGCTACTTCATTCTTGTCACAGCCAACTTGCTAACCTTGCTACTTCCATGTCCTACCTTCCCTCTCACCTGTAAACCCACTCCAAATTGGTTTCTACCCAATTATTCTAACAAAAACAGTTTCTGCCAAGGTTCCCATGACCTCCATGTCACTAAATCCAAAGGACATTTTTTAGTTGGCACTTTCAGCAGCCATTAGGCATCCATATTCCCTTCTCTTTTACACACGCTCTGACCCTGTATTCCACTATCCCGCACTCTTCTGGTTTTTCTCTTCTCTTGAGGTCTCTACTTTTGACTCCTTGCAGGAACATTTTGCTTAACCCAGCCACCATTCTGGAGTTCCTAGAGGCTCAAGCCCTCTTTTTTTTCTTACTTTATATGTGATACTCCTTCTCTACAATTTCATCCATCTATATCTTCTATTACCTTCTGTTTCGACTTCTCTATATGTCAACCTTATGTATGTGTGTGTGTAGATGATAGATAGATATTTAGATGATTGATAGGTAGATAGATAGATAGATAGATAGATAGATAGATAGATAGATAGACCTTCTCTCAAAAACTCCACCTGGATAGAGCAAAGCACCTGAAAATGACCTTGTCCAAAATTAAACTTAGGGTCTTTCTTTCCTGCTCTTAGATTCTGTTAGTACCAGGATTTTGCTTGCCTTAGTTCAGTCATCACTTCAAAAGGAGACTACAGCCAAAAAAAAAAAGACAAGGTTGAGAGTTGAAAGTGCAGCAATAGAAGAATTAGAAAAGATCGTCAAGAGTAAAGATGTGTCATAAGAGGCCAAAGCTAAGATCATTGACACCCTCATATTCCTAATTACTACATATGGGTGTGAAAGTTGGATGGTGATGAATGCTGATAGAAAAAAAATTAAATTGTTTGAAATATGTTTTTGAAGAAGACCTCTACAGAGCCCTAGAACAAATTAAGCCTGAAATATTGCTGGAGGCAAAAATGACAAAACTGAATTCTATTTCAGACACATCCCAAGAAGGCAGGGTTCTTTGGAAAAGACAATAGTGCTAGGAAAAATAGAAGGTAGCAGGAAAAGAAGACCAAATATGAGATGGACTCCATAAAAGAAGCCATAAGCATGTGTATAGGCGCTGACCAGGGCAGATGAGTTCAGAACACTGTGGACATAACTTATTCACAGGCTCGCCAGGTGTAGATGATTCAAGGGCAGGCACATTGCACATCACGCACATCACGCACACACACACACACACACACACACACACACACACACACACACAATTAGGAATTGCACTGAAATGAAGTTACTGAATTGAAGAAAGATTTCACCGTGTTTTTAAAAAAAGGTGTTTAAAGTCAGTGAATTCAGACTTGTCCTTTGGAAAAGACAATGTGGGAAGAAAACTGTGAGATGTTTATGCTGGTCAATGACAAATATGAGCTGAGTAAAAATAACCAAATAGTTTCTGTGAGAGACAATTACACAGATAGCCTTGGTTATAGGTGCTCCTTATGTTAATGGTAGGAGAAATGCCACATGAAAGGATGTAAATGGTACATCAGTGTAGAGCAACGCATAGCTTAACTCACTCCACCTGGGGAAGGTTCGAGGAAGGATTTGGGAGGGGTCCGAGCAGCAGATAGAAATCACAGGTGATGATTCTGTGCTTGGTCCACTTTGCGTCATTCAGTCTACACTATCTCCTTAGGGAAACTCATCCATCCCAATGTTTCAACTGCTACTTTTATGCCACTACATTCATTGCTATGCTTCAATCTTCAAATTTTCTTTAAGACTCTGCCCCATAGTTCCAACCACTTATAAGATGTTCTCCCTTGATGTCTTACAGGAATCTCAGACATCATCTGTGGAAGGTTAAATTCCTCATCTTCTTTCCATTCCAACTTACTCTTCTTCATGAAGTCTTCACCTTGATTCCAATCTAGAAATCTCAGTCACTGCTGCCAAGTCACTCTCCCATATGCCCCTTCCCAGTCTATCACCTATTACCAATTGTCCGACTGAAGTAATGCCTGTTTTGAATGTGGTTGGGAGGGTAGTAACAGGGTGTAATAATTTCTAGTTTTAATTTGAACATTTCACCTAAAATGTCATATGGTGCGCTTGAGTGTGATATTGTTAAGTTATAGAATTACAGGCTTATGATTAAAAAGGAGTGGCATTTATGTGGGACCCCTGAATTCAGAAATGTCTCACCAGCTCATCCCTTTCTGTTCTATTCCACAGTTCAGATCCTTCTCACTCTGGCCTAGATTACTGTAACAGTTCTGTACAAGTCTCTGTCTACTAGTCTTTCTCTGTTTACAGTGCCACTTGAGTATATCTTCAATCAAAATCACCAATATTAAAAATCCCAATTCCACAAATAATAAACCCTCAGTCTCGTACAAAGACACTCCCATGCTTCAGTCTAGCACCTCAGTCTGTTTTCCAATTACTCCACTCCACTGATGCCCACTATTCTCAAGCCTAAGACACTTATTACCCAGACCTTCCACGTGCCAATGAGCATGCTGTCACCTCTACTCGAAATCTTCTCCTCTGCCAAGTGAATTCCTACACATAAATCAAGATCTAGCACAGATTTCAGTCCTTTTTAGATATCCTTGACAATGAACTCTAGAAGCCTGCCTTGGGCTCTGAAAGGTTTAATTATGCCACTAATGACAATGTACTATAATGTGCTGACATGTGTCTCCACCAAATTGGCTACTTAAAGTGCAGAATTGGTCACTCACATACTCATATTTCTTAGTGATAGTTGCTGACACATAGCAATAGGAGCTGAAAGACATAGCTCAATAGATACTCTACCAGGAAGCATTTTCTTTATCACATACTAATTGAGTAAGATAAAATGAATAAAATTTATTTTGTTTCTTCTCTTAGCTATTTCAGGCAAGTCAAGTTTTCAACTTCGAAGTATTTTTAGAAAATATCATATTTTATCATATTTTTTATTGAGAAAACACCTGAAAGTTACCTTGGTAAAGGTGTGAATTCACTGATTATTCCTTCTGCTCCGAGTGTGATTCCCTGGACAATAAAGGTACTTCCCATTCCTTTCCAAAGGGCCCTCGGTCCCTAAAATGAACAAAATTTACTGTTATTTATGCTAATGCCTAAAAAAGAAACACAAAAAAGGGTCCTAATAAAACTTGATACTGAATGTTTATGGATATTTTTAATGAGGCATTATTCAAAAGGACATTTTAGTATAGAACTTCAACTAAATTAATTTCTAATATTTTATATGTTTCAGGTAGCCTACATTTAGGCCAAGATGAACATTTCAATTAATTAAATATCTCTAATACTGATTAAATGCCCTTAATGTTTAATTTGGCAAAGGTGTAAATTCACTGATTATTCAGTGACATCCAAAAGATGTCATTATCACATTACACTAATTTTAGTACAAAAGTTAAGATAATTTTATTAACTAAATTATGAAAAATTGTTGCTGCTTTAATTATTACTAAGGCCAAAAGGGACTTATGTTATAAATAACTTTAGTAAAATCTACAGATTAATTCTTACCTGAGTTTTGTTGAAGCTGTACATAATATTGATGACTGTAAATGGAGTGAGATGATAATGCTGAGCATGATAGTTAACCTGTAAAAAAGATACTTCCTGATTATTTTCTGTCATTGTTTTGATAAAGAAATAACAAGAACAAAAAAGATACATAGTGGAATCACCACATAAGTAAAAGTTCAATTCGAAAATCAGCATAAATTACACATAAGCAAAATTACTCTTGAAAGTGTTTCAAATAACTTATTAAAAGTAAAGTACATATGGCTATATAAATACAACTTTGAAGACCAATGCACACCATACACAGTAATATAGAATATATAATAAAGGTCTTGTTCAACATTTATGTTTCCTTTAACACTCAAATTACATTCAATGTGACAAAACATTTACGCTTTATAACACATAAGAACCACAAAGAACTTAGGGAACAGGAGATATGTGTCTCCCAATGGCCAGTATTTTTCAAACTATAAGCTATAAACAATTAGTAAATCATAAAATCAGTAAAGGGAATCTGACCAATAGTTACTAAGTGAAATAACTTTTAAAAGTATCAGGATGCATCACATACTCTAAAGTTATTTCAAAAAACATTTTTTAAAGTTACATATATATGTATCTGCCGGATCCCAATGCAGTAGTGTCACAATTTATAAAATTTATGTCTAAAATTAACTGTTTTGGGTCATATACAACTGTTCATGCTTTTTAAATAGCTATTTCTCTATATACAGTTTAAGTCTAAGCATGAACCTCTTAATTTGTAATTGTTTATATCTTTTCTAATTCAATTTTCAAAGAAGATAAGTTAAATCATAGGAGTTTTGCCACAGTATGCCCCAAGAGTCTTTAAGGAATTGACAGATTCAAAATTACTTTCTTGATACTAAGACATGATTTGCCTTTTTCCTTGTGCTGACATTTTCAATAAAAGCAGTCATGGGTAAATTGCTAATCCTTTAACATGAATCAAGGCAGTGGTGCAAACTATATTTTTGTACTAATTGTATTCTTCACCCCATTTACTTATAAGGAGGAAAAAGCCACTTTCACTAAAGAATGTCCTTGCTGAAGCAGTAAAATACATTAATTTTATAAAATCTTAACCCTTGGGTATATATTGTTTTTCTAATTAATATTTTGTATGTTGCATAATGAAGTAACATATGGCTGTTGTGCAGAAAAGCACTTGTCTAATGAAGCTGTAGGCTGAACTAGCCACTTTTCTCATGGACACTATTTCCTCTAGGAAAACTAATAAAGCTATAGTTATTCACACTTAGGACAAACATGTTTTTTAAAATGAGCAAAGTGAGCTTAACATTTGAAAAAGAAACAAAATAGCATTTGTTGCCAATGGTATATTTGAGTAAATTGAAAAATGAGAATTCTGGGACACCTGTATCCACCATCAAGAGCTTACCAAAACTGAAACACTTCTCTGGTGAGATTGGAGTGATTTTAATGATGGTTTTTTTTTTTTAAATACTATATACTCCAAAGATTATATAACTTTCAGAAGACCTATAAAACTCAGTAAACCAACATTTTTCAATCAATCAATTCATGATGTAACAGAATCATGCTTCGGTAAAAAATCCATTCAACATAAAGTACCAATCAATAGATTTTAATGTAACAAAGTATAAAAAGTTAATGGATGTAGCTTCAGATTCCACATTGCAAATAACCTTTAAGGCATTACCACTTGCTGAGTTTAGACGTAGTATCAAAAGAGTATCTGTCAATTATCTAAAATAAAATATAAAATACTCCTATTTTCAAATACATATGTTTATAAGGTTAGACATTCTTTTTTCTTTCAAAAACAATATACTGCAACAGAAGGGCTGAGGAAGCAGGTATGAAAATCTGGCTGTCTTCTATTATGCCAGATATAAAAATATTTGAAAGAAAATAGTGTTTCTTTTTCATAAAAAAGTTATTTTAATATCTAATGGATTTATTATTTTTAGTGAATTAAAAAATATATCAAAATTTTCCCTGTTCTGATTTCTGAAATAGTAAATATTGATAGAGGTATAACCCATATAAACAAAAGTTATTTGGAGATCTTAATTTTTACAACTTAAGAAGTTTCAAAGACCAAAAAGTCTGAGAAGTTGACATATAGCTTTTGGTACATTTCATGTGGAAGAATGGTTATACGGTCTCAGCAATTTATCTGAGTGCTATACTTCAAATCAGGGTTAGGATTATTGTTTAGAAGGTCACAGAAAGTACATTTACCTGACACTGGCGGCGTAGAACAATGCAAGGATGAGCCAGTACATTTTCTGTAAAGAGACTATATAAATATAATTTATAAATATATATACTACATACAAAATTTATTACATGTATCTGAAATTATTTTTGCTTGAAGAATCATGCTTTATTTTACGTTTCCCATTTTTTAATTAAAAAATACACAGACATGTTTGCAAATTATTGTACCAATAACAAAATTCAATATGAAAAGAATTAAAGCCAGATCTGCAAACTGGTAGGCAAGGGAAACAATATACAATACTAAAATGTATAGTATGAAGATGAAACTACATTTCTGTATATGCAGTACGGAAACTACTTTCCTAAACAATTTAAATGCCCGTTTCAACTACTCTCAGACAATGTCTTAGGTACAAAGTTCCTATCAGAAGAGCCATCTATTTTTCATGAATCTCATTCTATAAATTTTGGTTTTCATCTACTTTGCATTTAAGTTACAAGGATTTCAATGATGTTAACTGACAACTATTTTATGCATAAAACAGTTCTTCTGAAAACTTTCCCTACAAATTACAACCATAGCTTAAGTAGTACCAATAACATATGCCTGCAAAGCTGTGCATGCACACACGCACTCACATATGTATATATAAATACATATAAAAATTTAACACAAGAAAAATTAATTCTAACAGAAGAAAAATCTTAATACATAAATTTTTTCTATTGACATTAACATCTTCAAGTTTAATCATGCAAATAAGATAATTTTTTCTTCATTAAAATGTTTACAACAATGAGTTATTCTAGCATATGTTAGCATTTGTGTAATTTCAGTATTTTTGACTCATTATTCACTAAAGATCACATATAAGACTGCAGGCTTTTCTTTCATAAAATAATCATTAAATATAAAAAAAATAATACCTATTAAATATTGATTGTAAACAAAACCTAGACTCTATGTTGCTAAATATCTCGTTATAATTCAATTTTTGGGGAAGACTGTTCAATGTAAAATTACTCATTTTTTTGGATGGGAAGAGATAAGATTAGGTTTGATTTATTCTTTGCATAGATACATGAAAAGTGTTACAATATTCCTCACAAAATTATTTTGTGATTATAAAATTCAATGACTATTCTCTAATCTTATGGGGGAAAAAAATCAACTTATAAATTTTAAATTATTTTTCCTGCAAAATATTCAATATATAATCTACTGCTACAACGAATCAATCAAAAGAAAGCACTGCTCATGATTATTACATTAAAAAATTTAAAAAACTTAAATTAAAAATCTTTAGATTAAAACATTACCTTGCAAGTCCAATACCAAATCCAGCAAATCTACTCAACTGTTCTAAAATAGAAGAAATAAGATTACTCATAACCAATATTTGGATTTACTGTAAAAACAACAAAAACATTTTAACATAATATTCCTTTAAACTCCAGGTCCCAAAGTCATATTCTGATAGGGGCCCAGGAAGTCATTTGAATAAATGAAGGACTTTTTGGGGCTTGCAGCAAGTTACAAGGCATAGCTGTTCTTCAGCTCCAATTCATTGTTGCACTTAGGGACTATGGGCTCAGAGTTTCTAAGCTATAATTTTAAAAAAAGATATTCTCATTTTTATGTAGTATCTCGTAACTACAAGCACCCTGGCTGGTGTGGCTCAGTGGATTGAGGGCCGGCCTGCAAACCAAAGGGTCGCTGGTTCAATTCCCAGGACAGGGCACATGCCTGGGTTGCAAGCCAGGTTCCCTGTAGGGGGCACACGAGATGCAACCACACATTGATGTTTCTCTCCCTCTATTTCTCCCTCCCTTCCCCTCTCTAAAAATAAATAGATAAATAAAATCTTTAAAAAAACATATTGGCAACTATTTTAAGAAATACTGAAACACTGTGTTGGCCAAATCAAACATGTCTGTAGGTATAATTTAAAGGCTACCAGTTTTCAACTCCTGACTATAAACAATATAAAATTTTTTCTGTAGAAGGTTCTAACTGATACTTACACCAACAACTTTACCTCCTTGTTGTAAAATCAGTTATTCCCTGTTAGTGGAGAGCATCTATGTTAAACCAATAATCTCAAGTGAAACACCACAAAATTATTCAGTTGAAAGACTACTTAATCAAAATGGGTAAATAAGGTTCTCTTTTTCCTCTATTTCCCCAAATTTTAAGAATTTTGAGAGTAAGTAGCTGCTTAACTAGGTCTCTGCGATGGACTACTGGGTACATGTGTGCTACTGCTGATGGCGTTTCTATTGTCTTATTAGAAAATTTTACAGCTGGAAACATCTCTGCAAATATCAAAAGAGAAGAAAGATTTTCTCCTTGACTAAAAAATCTCAAAATCATGAGGATAGAATCTCACAGCCCCAGGGAACTAGTCATCAAATTTCAGCTGTAATACAATATTCCCAAGGGAAAATTTGCCCTCACCCTCTTTTTCTCCTCTCTTGTCGCATCTCCCCTTTCTCTCATCTCTGCTTTTTTTAAATGAAGCAATGCCCTCACTATTCCCGTACAGTCAAAACAAGGCCATGTAAACATGTCCCTGAAGAAACTATTTGGTTCATCCTTATTTCGAAAACTGTACAAGTGAAACTTCTTTTGTCCATGTTAAGGTACTTTCCTCCTTTCAGCTTTCCCTTTTTCGTGTGTACTGATCATCCCCTAATATTAACAGAAAATACCATGATATTTTCTGGAAAGTATTAAGGAGGCTTCCTATTGTTAACTCTGTAAGGCTCTCAGGCTTCTAACCTCCTTGTAGTTAGACTCATCAGCCTCTTACTACTGCTGAAAGAATCCTGGTTTCATTAAGAACTCCTCTCCCCCATTGTAGCCATCAAAGCAGAAATCACTAAAAGGTAAGCTTTACTGCCCAAGAAGATAACTGTGTAGCAACCATATGGGTATTTTTATTTATTTAATTTATAACTTTCCAGTACTATTTCTGGGACCAATAAGAAGAAAAATAGGAAGAGTGAACAAGCTAATTGTATCACACTAAATCACTGTTCTCCTCCACATTGTTTGCTAGCCAGACTATATTTAGTCTATTTCTCCTAGTTAGCTCAAATGAAATAAGTATTACTGCATTTTTTTCAGTCAAAAAAGAAATGAGAATAAAACATGTCTAAAATATACTTAATATTTAATGATATGACCTACTACTCTAACAATTTCAGGAAAATGAACCATTATTTCCAGTTTTTAATAAAAAAGACATTGAAAATATTGATAGCTAAATCACAGAGTACTGAAGTTACAACACAGGTCTTCTGACATTCTACAGAAAATAATTATGTCTTGAATTCAAAGTCTTGTCTTGAATTCAAAGTCTTGAATTCAAAATCTTATCTTGAAATTGTATCAGTGATTTTTGCTCACTAATGGAATTTTTAAGTCAGAAAAAGGAAAGTAGAAGTTGTTTATATTTTGCAGCTCCCTAAATCTTTAGAGCTGCCATGGGATGCATGAATTTAGGATCTATAATTTATGTACGTAAAAGAGTGTTACTTTAGCTTTTTTAAAATGAAAAAAAAATTAAATTATAACTTCTCTATGTATTTCAAGTGAATCATTTAATATGATTAACGCTCATTTTGTTATTACTATAAGTGTTAAAAGAAGAAAATGGGAAAGTATAAACATGTTCCCTTCTACCAAAAAGGGGCCTGATGACAGGGGGTAGTTTGGTATCTAGAAAAGACACAACTCCTATGATTAAAAGAAACAAGGAAAGAAACAAATAGCTTTAGCTTAATATGTGCTCCATACTGTACTATGAATTACTCACACGTCATTTTATTTAACACTTAAAAAGCTGTTATTCTTCCATCCACCTTAATTAAGGATGAGAAAAGTGAAGGCTCACAGACGTTTACAAAATCTTTTAGCTTTTAAGAGTGGTAGAACCCAAGCCTGCCTGTGCTGAAAAACTCTGCAGACACAAAGCTCCAATAAATTACATAAAAAAAACACAGCAGTCATTTAATTAGGTATTGTTCACATGATTCCCAATAAATGATAAATAATCCAAGTTCCTTCTTTCTTGATTTAGATAGATCATGGGTTGTAATACACCAAACTCTTAGAATTTAGAAATTCCTACCACGCAGCCCATAGCTAACACAGGTGTCGTTTTTTAGAGGTGATCCCGGAGAAAACATTTGGGTGAGGACAAGGGAGGAGGCCCGCCTCAAGGGCAGAGGAAGCTGGGAGGGCAGAGGGTGTGGTGCGCGTTAGACCCAGAGGCCCCGGAGGCCCCTCCGCGCAGTTTTCGGGGTTCGCAGGCCGCGAGGCGCTGCCCCGCCACTCCACCCACCCCTACCTTGCTCCCAGCGTCCCTCACCGCTGCTTTGCCCCGGCACGCTGCCGCCGCTGCCTCCAGGAAAGGGTTCCTCCTCCGGGCCCTCGGGGGTAGAAGGGGCGGGCACTCCGTAGGGCGGGCTCTTCTCGCCCCAGAGCAGGTTGCGGCTACCCGGAATGTCTGGGGGAGTGGTCACCCAGTGGCCCCGGTCCGACGCGGAGCTGAAGGACCTTGCAGGAAAAGCGCCTCCAAAGGCCTGCTCATCACGGATACCCCCGCGATAGCCCAAGCCATCGAAGCCGTCCGGGCGCCGTGGATGCATCGCAGACGGGGCAGGGTGAGACGAGCCCACCCGGAACCCACCACCACAGGGGCCACGGCGACTTCAGGCCACACAGACCGTCCTCCTCCTCCACCACCACCACCGCAGCGTCGGGTAAATTGACAACCGGAAGTCACGTTGCAAATCCGGAAGCTCACGGAGCACGTGACTGTAGCCTCTTCCGGCGGTCATTAGAGACGCGGTTGCTAGGGAGACTAACCAGGATTTGAGGGCCAACTCTTAAACTGTTACCGTTAAGGCGGAGGGAGTGGTAAAATGACTATGGAGTTAGTGGAACGCGCTACTGAAGAAATACCGAAAGGAAAAAGGGATGGGAACTAGGCCTGGATGAGAGGAGGTCGAATAAAGGTGTTTCAAAACGAGATAAGACTAACGCGTCGTTGGATCTGACTTCCAGGTCTCAGCCAGAAACATCCCGCTCCACGCAAAGACCCCTGGACCTAGGTCTTTTCTTTCCTCGCTAGGATAGTATCTCATCTACCACAGAGGAATTATTCAGAAGCTCGAGGTCTGGAATGATCGTAGCATTACACCTAGCTTTGCCTCCCGCAGTTGTCGTTTTGGGTAAAATCTATTGAGAGAGGTTCGGCCCAGTGAACGCAGAGGTACTATGGGTCATTAAGCAAGCCTTAAAAAGGAACGTCAGGAGATAAAACTAGCCCTCTTCCCTTCTCCTCCTTCTCCTCTCCGGTCAATCCCGCCCCACCCCTTGTGGGCCCCCCCGCCCCCCCGAATATAAACTCTCCGGGACTTAGCAATTAAGCATTTTGCTTTTCTAAGGCCACAGAACAGCTACAAATCGTTTTCTGTAGGCATTTTCTGGTGCATCTAAATCAGAGTATTCATACCTTTAAAAATTGAGACCTTAGTTGAAAAATTAAAATAACCCTACTACCTGTTTTCATTAGCTCCATAGGCTCTTAGGGCAGAGTCTCTGCCCCTAGATCTGACTGAGCCTACCATGGATTCTTCCTGTGTCCCTTCTTCCCCACCGGGGCCCAGCATTCCAAGGGCTTTCAAAAGAGAACCCTGACGCATTATTCTCAATCTTCTAGAAGCGAATGTTTATTTAAAGTAATAATCAAATTCAACTTTCGAGTGGATTGACATTCTTAAATTGGGTTGTGAAGGACTCGGGCAAATATATGTAGTCTCACCCTTAAAAAGTGTATCCAATATTACTTGAGTACTAATACCAAGTTACTGTCTAACCAATATTAAATTTGTTACAGGACATGGCAATAAAAAATATTTCTCTATTTCTTAGGAATATTGGCTCAAGGATAGGACTGGCTCAGGTGCAAAACTTTGTTTATTGTTTATTAAAATGAGAAGGAGGAAAAGGGGTGTGTGCGTGTGTGTGTGTATGTGTGTGTGTGTGTGAGAGAGAGAGAGAGAGAGAGAGAGAGAGAGATTTTAATATAAAAGCAATGGCATCTTACAATTTTACATCCATATCAGTGAAGAAAGGATGAATTATTAGGAGAAGGATAATTGGGTGACCAGTTGAAGGGAGAAACAGTAAGAGCCCCACCTCATAGCTTATTCCCAAGTAAATTCCAGCTATAATATGTAGTAGTTTTTCCTTTTATAGAAGCATGGAATAGTCAAAGAAAATAATAGGTGAATATTTTTCAAATAGATCAAAATCTTTCTAAAAGTGACAGTAAAGTCAAAAGCCATGTAAGGAAATACTAATCAATTTGACCATAAAAATGTAAATTTCTACATGGTAAAAAAGGAAAAACATTTTAATAAAAATTGAAAAATGAGTCACAAACTGGTAAATGTCATATTTCAACACGATTTAGACAATGGGCCACTTTATTGTAAAACAGAGTTCTTAACAATAAAGGAAAATTAATAGAAATGTGAGCAAAGGACATGGAGAGACAAGTCATAAAAAGAAACACAAATTGATAATAATTGTATGAACAAATGCCTGTCCTCTAGTAATTAAAGAAAGGTGCATTTAAATAATAACAATTTTCCTATAAAATGACAACGTTTAAAAGGTAAACATACATTGTCATTCAAAGTGAAAAGAAAGTAGCTCTCATTCATTTTGGAATTGTATAAAATATAACACCTTTTTTCATATATTAGTGATTTTTACAATCCATACTTAATTTATACCCCCATAATGCTGCAATGAACATAGGGGTGCTTATGTTCTTTTGAATTAGTGTTTCAGGTTTCTTCAGATAAATTCCCAGAAATGGAATTCCTCTGTCATAACATAGTTCAATGTTTAATTTTTTGAGGAAATTTGATTCTGTTTTCCACAGTGGCTGCACCAGTCTGCATTCCCACCAACAGTGCAAAAGGGTGCCCCTTTCTCCACATCCCCACCAGCACTTGTTTGTTGATTTATTGCAACAAATATAATGTCACAAAATTATAATCAGGTATTAACCTGCCTGGAAAATGGCAACAATCTGACTACCACATTTACAGGGTCTCCCCATGGCCCAAGTTGTGGCTTACAGAAGAGATGAAATGTGAGGGAGAGTAGACTATGAAAGGCTTCCAAGAGAATTTTGCACCTCCTTGAAATCACCCCAGTGATGACTACCACAGAGAAGTTAATATTGTGCCAAAGAAACCACCACTGCTAGACAGACCTGGTCAAGGAAGCTCCAATAGATAGTACTGTCATGTTAACTACTGAGACTAAGGGCTGCAGTTTTTCTCATAATCAAAAAAGTGGTCCACCTCACACAGGAGATGAATCTGGCTGTAAGTGGACAAGAGAAGATCATTCTGGAAGTCGTCAGCCTGAATATACTGAAGTGAGAGATGACTTTAGAAGAAAAAGTTTCTACATTTCCTATTACGTGAGATACCAGTCTCCTCATAGAAGAGAAACTCCTTTTTTCAGAGACTCACCTGTAGGCAGCTCTGGCTCCAGTGTTGGTAGTAGAAACTACCCTCCAGAAAGAAGCAAACCTTACTCTTTCCATCATTTGAACATAGAAGTAAGGAGAAACCTCTTCATTCTTCAAAAGCATCAAGAGGAACTTCACCCTCAAGGTTTTCATCAGTTCCTCCACCAAAGGTGTTAGACAAACCCAGTAGGCTTTAGATTGTTAAGGCTGCAAGCAAGTAAGTGGCTGAAAAGCTAGAGAAGGCAGATGAATGTGAAAATACATGAAATTTCTGAGTATGAAGCATGATCCCTAGCACCATTTCTCATTGACCAGAGAGAAGAACCTAAGTCAAATGCAAGAGATGGCATAGAAGTATTTGAAGACAGTCAGGTAAACAGTAGCTCTAAAGCTGTGATTTTCAACTGTTTTCATCTCATGGCACATATAAACTAATTCCTAAAATTCCATGGCACACCAAAAAATGTATCTTTTGCTGATCTGACAAAAATAGGCCTAACAAGGTATAATTTTGATTCATTCACACTGGACGGGTATTGTGTTGGCTGTTGTCATTTTTCAAATTTAGCAGTCTAAAGGAGAAGAGGTCAGTTCCCCTGAATAGTCAGGTATTGAATGTTTTAAAAATTATTGTATTACACCAGTGTGCCTGCTGCGGCGTACCAGTTGAAAATTGCTGCTCTAAAGCAATAGCATCAAAAATAAAAAAGATTGAACAGGTTTACCGACAAGACTGTGAAACTTTTAGGATGGTTGTGAAAATTCTGATTGAAGAAAGACTCTTCATTAGAAAAGTCTATACAGTTTGCATTGAGACAGAATATACATGAAATAGGTGAGTGATGTGTTGAATAACTCAACATTGCCTTGCAAAATGACTCTTCTAGTCAAGACTTTGGAGAGCGTTTTTAGAAATATACTTGCTAAGATAAAGATAATGTTTCTAGATTTATTTTTCCTGGAGAATGTAAATCATATATGTATTTTTGTGATGAGAGAAGTACTTTTATGTTAGTTTATCAACCTTCCAATATCAAATAAACATCTAAAGTAGTATTAAGATATTTAATTAGAATCTTTTAATCAACACATAAAACCTCCTAATCCATACTTAATTTATCCCCCCTTAAAATGATGAGTCAAATAACTTTTGAAGTCCTGGAAAACAACTTATTTATGTTCTATAGTCTTCCATAGAATGTGATCATTTGTTTGGTTACCCTAGTGTAAGTTTTAGAGATGATTCCATTTAAAACACTTAGAGTATTTTTGCATTTTATAGTCAATAATACCATGTGAGAATGTTAGAATTCTAAGTAGTGATTCTACTGACTTGTTGCCTGCTTATCTCAAGCTTTGTAAGTTTTAATATGTTTAAGTATAAGATCCAAATAAAATGAATACCTTGACATCTTAGAGGATATTTGCTTTGAGTATAAATACTCACTGTGGTAGCTAGAGCACTTAAATCTCTTAAAAGACACTTCATAATAAAATCCTGTTTTTCCAGGTAGAAAAAAAAGAAAGAAAATGACATGTATTGTATATTAAAACAATGGGATAGAGGCAGAGTTTTTAGATTGGGTGGTCCAGGAAGTCCTCTCTGACGAAGTGATCTTCAAACCTACATGAAGCGAGGGAATGAGCCATGTATAAATATCTAGGAGAAAAATTCTCAAGGCACAACTAGGTATAAGGTCATAATGACAAACTAGGCAGCCAGAGAACAAGGGCTGGCTCACTGAGAGCTCAAAGGACAGTAGAGGCCAAATTTCGCAGGGCCTTGTAGATGATGGACAAGAATTTAGTATTTTTGTTTGTTTAACAGAAGAGTAAGGTGATCTTTATTATGCTTTAAAAGGATCAGCCTGACTTCTCTGTGCAGCAAAGAAGGAAGCCTCCTATACTAAATAGGCCATTGCAAACTGCTGCGGCAAAACATAGTAGTGATTTTATCTAGAGTGATAGAGGTGAATGAGGTGAGAAGAACTGGAGTCAGCATGTTTAAAGGTTAAATCAGAAATAGATATTAAATGACAAGTGAGATGTTCATGTTAAATTAAAAACAGGGTCTATCGTGATATTACATTTATAAAAGTAACAATAAAGATATGCACACAATAAAAAAATATATGCCAAAGTGATAAAATTGTGTCTGGGTGTAGGTTGGCATGAGTTTTATTATTTTTTACTT